AGAAATTCATATTTCTTTCCAAATGAGTTTTCATGTAAATTCTGTATTATTTGTCATTTGTACCTTCATTGAGCTAATTTTATGCACTTACTTGCTTACTGTAAGCTGTGAGAAGCTATTTGGTTACAAAAAGAAATGATTATATTATATTATATTATATTATATTATATTATCCAATGGGTAAAATATTATTTGTGCTGTTGCATATTTTGTTTACTGAATTGTATATGAAAGGTTAAAGGACCTAGCAAAAAGTGTAAAGCTTACACAGTGTGATTTTAATATTTCATTTGTATGTTCATGTAATGCACTGTGTGTGTTATAGACTACTGCTAGGACAGATTGTAGATAATTGAAACTCAGGTCAGGTTTTTTTTTTTTTTGGTTGTTGTTTTGTTTCCTGGATCTGGATCTTCCAGCGATGTTGATGGCGAGCCTTCCCACCTGGATCTAAAGTGAAAGGGAAACAGTATCACCAGATACTACCAGTGGCTACTGAACGTATCCTGATTCTGCCACACCCTGTGGGTGGTAGGCCAACTGCTGCAAAAACATTCTCACATTCAGTCCCCCAGATCAACACACACACATTCACCCTTATGACTCTGACATGACCTTTGACTTTGACCTCATCGTGTGGAACTGAGAACTGAAAGAGTATTGTTTTGTATGTATGTAATTTTATTTATTTTTTAAATTTTTATTATTTTTTTACTTTAATACAAAAATGTTCCCATGTTCAACCTCTTGCCTCTGAGTTTCATTTAAACATTTCACTGTGCTCCAGCAGTCGAACCTACTGGTCCATTATCCACTATATATATATAGTGTTGCCTATTTCTGAGCAAAGGGGTGTTACAGTGGGAATCAGTTAGACATGTTTATCTGCTCTAACTTAAGCAGGAATTGTTTGCATTTTCTAACCATCTAGCTTACTTTCTCAAAGTGTATGCAAGAGTTACTTCCAATCACATAATCATCTAACTACAGGGCTTCAATCACATGATTCAAATGTCACAAATGTGTTTTACTTGCTTGATTACTCGACTTGACAAATCAACTGGACTTGGACATTAACATCAGTGACTCATGACTTCACTTGGACCTTTGACGTGAAAATATTTGCTCACTTACCGCAAAATTAAAAAATGTGTCACACACATTGACCATATATAATTACTCCATAGCTCCAGGTAGTGCCTGTTATTTTAAAATCATTCCCAGTGAATCAAATCACAGAGAAAAAAAAAATCAGTAGTTGGATAGTTGCAGAAAAAAAATAATTTAACTCAGCTGAGGAGCTTTTAAAATACAGATATTTAAATAATCAAATTAATATCACAAACGTACACCCATATTAAAACAGCCGGAACATGTTGCAGTCGTTCCCAGTGGATTTTGGCCATATATCTACTTTCTCATATCTGTACTTTGAACTGTTAGCGTGATATTGTGTACATAGCCATTAGGTTCATGTTTAACAAGAACTTTTTTCAAGGTCCTCATTTTATATGTCACCTGGAAACATTAAACAGACAGCCAGAGACACACTCATAGAGCTAACGTGGGCCTGCTCAGCTACCTAGATCAGCTCAATCATCGGTTAGAAACCAGAAGCTGCTTTTATCTTCCTCCAACTGAAATTAATAAAACTGGTAGGTGTAGCAACAGTAACTATGTGGAGCTAGTTTTAGTGCATAACAGCTTAATTAAATACTCTTAAAACAAAAACGTAGCAGTTTAAAAGTTAGGACTGACACGCGCCTTCATTTTAAGCTTCCCCTCACTTGTTAATCTTCAGTTTGAAGGTGGAGGTCATACCTGGGGTTTTACTGATGATGGCTGCTGGGTTCCCAAACAGAGCACCTTCTTTATTTCCCATTAAGTAAACAGCCATTAGGGAGTAAGAGTGCCAGAGGACAGTCTTATCTGTCATCACAGTAACAGATGTTGACACATAATCTGTCCCTTTCAGCTTCTGCCACTCTGGACTCTCCAAAGGAAGACTTCCAAGATGAACCCCGTCAGTTTGATCCTTGTGGACCACGATCACGGCAGAGTTCTGCGCATCAGGGATTATGTTGACTACCGAACAGGCGGCAAAGTCTGTCTTTGGGATCAGATTGATGAGCAAGCCTGGACGGTAGAGGATGGCTGTGCCAGCTGTCTTTTCCAGAGGCTTGTCTGGATTGAAGGGATTTGCTTTGCCTTTCTCTGAAAGAAGAATAACTGTTTCACTTTTAGCACCACTGACAAGAGCAGGAGGAATGTAGAACTCCTGCTCTTCCTCTTTGTCTGGCAGCAACATTGTGTACAGCTGCCCACAGGTGCAGTTGTACCGAGTGGTGCAAGTGTGACCAAAGAGGACTGCCACCGGCTGCTGCGCTTCCACGGTTGTCAATTCCTCCTCCACTTTTAACCAAATCTGAGCGACCTGGTTGGGCTGAAGCTGGATGTGCTTGGACTCTTTACCTGTAACAGTTACCTTGTTGTTATCTTCCCCATTGATGATGACGAGTTTGAATGGGCCTCTTTCAGCTACAGCCGTTGTGACTCTGTCCTCGGGGTCAGTGGTTCCTGTGATCTCGGGTACCGGCGGGATGAGGTAGGTTTGGCCCAGATTGTCAATGGGTATAACCAGAGTAGTCTGCACACTGTTGTTTTTGAGGTTGACGGCATGGACAGTGATTTCATTGTTGCTGGTAATTTTGAGAATTTTGTCTGAGATGTTTTCCCTCCGGAGCTCCAGACCTTTATTAATTGCAAATTCATGAGTCTGTCCTCTGATCAGTGTGTTTGTTGTGTGAGTGGAAATGCCATTCTCAATTATTTTGACCGTAGTGTCATCATACAAGGCAGTGACTTTGACCTTATTTTGGGGCTCATCAGGATGATAATAGGCGATGTTCTCCGGAAAAGCAACAATGAAATTCTGACCAGTGCTGTTTTCAGGTGAGGTGGTGGTGGATTCTGAAAAAAACGTCAAACCTTTAGTATTTTTCAAAATGGAGACATGAGGAGGGGGTAATGCAATACGGGGTAATATTGTATAGTTCAGTTTACAATTACAGTCTAATTTCATACTGAAAATATTAATAGTGGATAATTGACAGCTTCAATAAAGAAAGCTAGTTTATGTCAACAAACAATCGTTTACATAGAAAATATTATAATAGAAAACACTTTATAGAGCTGCTGTGCTATACCTGGCCTATACTCCAGAGTCTGTCCCAACAATGAAAAAAAAGTAAGTTAGGTATTTTCAGGTATTCTTAATAGTATTTCTTCCTGAAAAACAATAAACGTAGTTGCTGACTCATCCTGCACTCGGGGCGTATACTAATGCTGCGTCCAATAAAGTGCTTTCTCTCTTCTGACACCGCCGGAGCAGAGTGTTTCTGAGGGCCGATGTGTTACAGACATCTAAAGCCTCACTGATTACTGTATAAGACCTTTTTAGACCTTTTTTTATGGAGAAAATATTTTCCTATTAATACATAGTAACATACAAGAATCATTGTACCTGATAGAGGACACTCAACCAGAGCTCAGCACTCCCCGAAAACATACCAAACACACCAACTTCTAGTCAGAGGAGGAAGTATTCTGATCTTGTACTGAGGGAAAAGTGCTAATCCCACACTGTACGAATACTCTCTCACAAGTGGAAGTATGTGCGTATAATGAGTACAATGTAATATTAAATGTTGTGCAATTATATCTGATATCATTAGATGACTATGTTTCATGCATTATTGTAGAAGCAGAATTTTACTGTTGGAGTTGGTTGAGCTCATTTTGTATCAGACTGCAACTAATGATTATTTTCATTATGGATCAATCTGCTGATCAAAGTCCAAAGTGCCACCTTCACAATGCTTCAGTCCGACCAACAGTCCACAGCTCCAAATGATCTCAAATACATTCAGATTATTACAATCAGTCAGAGGAAAAGCAGCAAATCTTCACGTTTGAGAAGCTGGAGCCATGAAAAGTTTTTACAGGTAAAATTACTTCAAAAATGTATTTTCTGTCAAAGGACTAATGGATTAGACTGATGATTTCAGCTGTATAAACTGTTGGATAGATTCTTTTATAATAAACATCATATTTTATAAACTCTTAATTCCCCTCTGAGATGTAGTGGAGTAAAAAAAAGTAGAATGAAAGTCAAAAAGTACAAATCACTCAACTTTCTGCTTAAGGTACATTATTTGAGTAAATGTACTTAGTTACTTTGCACCACTGTGTTTTACCTGACTTCAACGCTCCCAACAGCAGGAACAAGAGCAGCACCGGACACATGGCGGCACCGGGATCACCAGTGAAGAGTCTTTTGAAACTTAAGCCGGCACCTTGAATAGTTAGACAGATGTGTCAATATGTGAACTTTATTCCCTTTTCAACACTGGCCTCTCTCAGAAAGCTGGTTATATTTGTCTGTGGGCTATGAAATAATCTCTTACTTTAAATGGAAATTCCAGATGTGTCCAGATGAAATGAAAAATGCATTTTAAGCCCATAAAGATCACATCTTCGGTTACATTGTACCTTTATTTAACAAATTATACCAAAACATTTACAAAAAATCAATTTCTTTGTATTTTTACATCAAAATCCAGTCATTTTTTCTTTCTGTAAAACAAAATGGGACGCGTCCTTACTGTCCCTCTCTAGCTGTCATTAAACACTCAAACAGAACTCTCATTTCTGTTTTATGTCGACTTTAAGTTATCAATTGATTCAGGTCCAAATCTGGACATTTCAGTGCCAACCAATCAGCCACATGGCCCCGCCCCCTAGATGACTCAAATTAGCTGGCAGTGAGGGAGCTTGTTTAAGCCCCGCCCATTCCAAGCACCGATGCAAATATTTAGTTGTTTGAACAGGTGAAGATACA